AATGAAAGAGGCATAATTTCTATTTATTTCGTAATTTTTTATGGTGGTTACGAGATTGGTCAAATCTACCCAATCAGTACAGAGATTCATTACTAAAAATAACAGATATAATATAAAGTTTTTTCTTAAGAAACATTTTATAACTATCTGGACATTATATAAAGATTTTGCATATGAAATTTGAAAATTTTCTGATGCATAAAAGTATTTTTAATCTTAAAATGAAAATTACTTTGCATGTTAAATAGGCAACATTGAAAAAAAAAGGCATCAGAAAAACATTGTTTTACAAACCTTAAGACTTAATACAAAAATTTGATATTTTGCTTATGGAAGCATTGTAATTTTTACTGATGATGTGCCCAATTTTATTAACATTCACTTACTAATTTAAAACTTATAGCATGAGAACTATAACAAGCACAAAGTGGTTATGAGGTCAGTTCCAGGAACAGACCCCATGCTGAAAGTGTTAACTCAGGTTTTCATTCTAATTTCAAGTTTTTCAGACACAAACTCTGAAATTTTAATACTTGAAATAATAAGAAAATTGCTGAACAAAATATAATTCACAAAATAAGTACACTACCTTACTTTAAAATTATTTACTGTGAAAATCCATATTAAATCAAAGTGCGCAAGTTTGGTCAATTGGATCGAGCTCCTACTGGAAAATTAATGTTTATTGTAATTTTGAATTTACTATGTGAACCCTCACAAAATTTGGTAAGCTTTAGTAAATGATATACATACATAATACACAATAATTCAGAAGTTTTAATAAAATATTTTTACTGAAGGTTTATTTGTGTATTTACTGAGTCTGTCTTACTTAGAATTTGCTAACCTGAGTTAGGAATAAAAATACTTTTTTCATCTAACAGTGTTCATATTTCATTTACATAGCCTCTAGAACCTTCTAAATGAATGTGACATTTTTTTTTGATAAAACCTTTATACCTTATCTCTTATTTTCTATACCCTAACACTAACTGTAGTAAAATCATCTGTAAAAGTTGAAAAGTATGAAATCAAATCAAAAGTACATTTCCTTTCCTAGAGTGATTGCTGATTGTGACAGACTATTACAGTTAATTATCCTAAACCTTAGGCTCTCTGCAGTTTCACATTTATTTTCATTTAATTTTATTGTTTAATTGCTTTTTGAAACATGTTTAACTAGCATAACAAAGCAGTGAATCACTGGACAAGACCTTAGCAATCAAGCTATCAACTTATATCACACAACTGCAGCTTGTGTGTGTTCCTTGAGAAGAAATTTTACTTAATTTTATAATTTGAATTGTATTATAAAATGTAACAAGTTTCTAATTTTTACATTTTACTTACTTAAAAAAATATATGTAATAGTAAATAAACAATTAATATATATTTGTATATATAAAAACAACTTTTGCATTTGCATTAGCCATGTAGCCTCTTGCACTCGGGTGCATGGTTTAGTAAACCTATATTTTTATAACTATGTTGGTTTTCCAAAAATAATTCATGTAGGTTTAGAATATGCATTACAGAACATACAAAATATATCAGACATTAGAATAGAATGTCCCAAAACTACTAGTATTTATCTGGCTTTCTAACTAACCTATAAATAGATTTAAAAAATCCCGTTACAGCTATTTTATTCTAACTGCATCAAGCTCTTACAGCAAACTATCAACTTTTACTGCTAAAATAAAATAGACAATCTTCTGATGTATGTAGCATAAAATTTGATATTTTTATCCATCATAAACATGTCTTATAGCAGTGTCAGAAAGAATTGTAGAAAATTATTTAGAAGATGGAATATGGATGGAGCATGTCAGTGTGGGTTGAACAAATATGGTGATATCTCAGTAAAGCAAAAGATAAGAGGTTGAAGTTTTCTGTTCTTTATTGTTAATAGCATGTTTTTCTAATTTAAATGATGCAAATCAGAGAGGCAAATATTGATGATTTATTTAAATATTTACTATGTTTTGATGCTAAGTTTATTAACATAGTAGTAGTAGTAGTAAGCATCTGTAAGTCTCATAAGACTATAGATTAGACACAAAAAATGTTTAATTCATTAGGAACATGCTTGAATAATCCTATTTGGGACAAGCACACTCTGCTGCCATTTGAACAAGCAAGCAAGGGTTGTTTTGGGGCATGAAGGCTGTTGTGATGAATTATTTCTGATGGTACTTTTTTCTTTGCTTGCTGAGATCTTTACTTTTCATTTTTCTTCATTAACTCTTTCACACAGCTTTTTCAAGCACAAAAAATTACTTCTTTCATGTTTTGCTTGGTGCATCATTGTGATCTACTTTTCAGGTTTTACCCTAAGCCCTAAGCACCCATTGAAATAGATAGACCGTGGCAGCTAGTACCCAATTGTCCAGGAGCTGCCCTGCTTAAGGTGGGCAGTAGCTCTCTCCCACTGTCAGAGTCAACAGCCTTCTCTATGCCAATTGAGACAGAATTGCTGTCTCCCATTTTGTGTCAACACAGGTTGTCATGTAATGGTGGAGTTTCCTCTCCAGGGTGCTGTAACTTGGGCAGTGATATGAAAATTCTGGGTTGCCCATGCATCAGGATCTCCCTCTTGACCTATCTGGTTGAATCCAAAGGAAAGAAGGATCCACTAAGATTGGAACTGCAAAGTTGCACGAGCTGCTGGAACAAATGGACCATATCCACTCATCCGCTTGTCAGGGCTGTTCTTCTTAACCAAATGCAAACCAAGGCTACGGGTTTGGTCTGCTCTGAGCTGCAAGAAAACAGATGGATATTCTTCACTGTTAACCATCTTAGGGGCTCACTTCAGATTTTCTTTTAGGGTTTACTCCCTCAGCATTTCAATCTCCCAAGTTAACCCACGTGTCAGTAGGACAAACCCTGATAATAATGTAGTCTAATTCCTAATATAACTTTGTGAAGAAAAAAAAGGTTATGACATATGCACATTGCAAGTTAGCAGCATCTTCTGTTTGAAACAGAAGGATTTGTACATTCTGAAGCATCGTGAATCAAACCTACTATCCTCAAATCATGCATAAACACTTGCACTTGCAAGATCAAAGGCTGTGATGTGTCTTAATGACTCCTTTCTAAAAGCACTTGGGTTATTTTAGGTTTCTTCTATTGTTATAATAAAAGATACTGATGAAGTAGCAGAGAACTACAAAAAATAAAATTGAAATG